GGGACAGTGTGTATATTGGTAGAAGGATGTTAGAAATGCAGCTGCAGGAAAAAGACAAAGAGGAGATACAGTGAGTAAAATAAGTATTTGAACACCTGCCAATCAGCATCAGTTCTGGTCCTCAAAGACCTGTTAGTCCTCCTCTATAACGTCCTCCTCCACTTCTTATTCTAAATCAGAAGCACCTGTTTGAGGTTGTTAGCTGCATGAAGACACCTGTCCACCCACACAATCAGTAAGACTCCAACTACTAACATGGCTGAGACCAAAGAGCTGTCCAAAGACACCAGAGACTAAATTGTAGACCTCCACAAGGCTGGAAAGATCTACGGGGCAACTGTCAAGCAGCTTGGTGAAAAAAAGATCAACTGTTGGAGCAACTATTAGAAAATGGAAGAAGCTAAACATGACTGTCAATCTCCCTCGGACTGGGGCTCCATGCAAGATCTCACCTGGTGGAGAATCAGTGATCCTAAGAAAGGTGAAGAATCAGCCCAGAACTACACGGAGGAGCTGGTCCATGGCCTGAAGAGAGCTGGCACCACTGTTTCCATGGTTACTGTGGGTAATACACTAAGACGTCATAGTTTAAAGTCATGCATGGGCCGGAAGGTTCCCCTGGTTAAATCAGAACACGTCCAGGCCCGTCTGAAGTTTGACCAGGACCATTTGGATGATCCAGAGGAGTCATGGGAGAAAGTTCTGTGGTCACATGAGACCAAGATAGAACTTTTTGGTTTTAATTCCACTTGTCGTGTTTGGAGTGTTACGTCCACCAGGCTTGTTTGGTGGGGGTAACATTAAAGGAGGCCACACAAGGATTTTCAGTTTAAATGAAGATAGTGTTTATTAAATTGTATGGGAGCATGGCCCAAAACAAGGATTTTAATCCCTGAAAAGTAGCCTCAATGGGTAAATGCAAACCAACAAACAAACCCCAACCACACTGATACGAACCAACCCACAAGGTGTTCTGAGGAGGAGGAAGGGAAGCTTTTTCCTTGCTGCACACCTGGCAGCTTTTATCACAGAGGAGCACCAATCAGGGCAACACAGAACACCTGCAGAAGGCCTGTCTCCAGAACCATAC